TCATTTTTAAGTGAACTGAAAGTCCACAAATATGTGCTATTCCCAGCCATAAAATGAAAATAATCCAGGATTAAAATCAATGGAATGTGCTAACCCCCTTCTCATCAGTTTGGGTTTGGTTGTCTTGGGTGGGTGGAACAGAGCTAGGTGCGTGTGTGTTTGTGATATCTGTGTGTCTGCCTCAGGTGTGTGAATGACGTGGGGCAGTACTGGGTGAGCGCTCCATAGGTAGATAGGAAAGACCACTGGGTGGAAAACAGCTAGGTAGGTCCCTGCAAAGTCATGCCTAGAATGCCTTTAGAAACCTATCTGTAAGGTTGCTGAAAAACTCCTGAGGTTTCTGCCTCCCTCTTTAGGAACTGGTGGGAGAGAGGGTGGCCAGTCTTTGGCTTCTATTGCCTGTGCCTCCTTGAGAGCACCAAGCTTTTCCATGCTACTCACCTCTAGCTCAATGTGCCTGTGAAACAGGCCACCTTTTCTAATGTGAAAACAGACCCCAAGAAGGTGGCTTACGCCAGGATTGCAGGGTGAGTGGAAGCCCAGGGTTTGCCTTAGACTGCATGTGTAAGGGGAGGGAGGATGTGCCTGTGAAACAGGCCACCTTTTCTAATGTGAAAACAGACCCCAAGAAGGTGGCTTACACCAGGATTGCAGGGTGAGTGGAAGCCCAGGGTTTGCCTTAGACTGCATGTGTAAGGGGAGGGAGGAAAAAGGGAGATGGAATTAACCAACCTTTACCAATTGTTCTCTGGCTGCAGAGGGCATCTTGAAGGGGAATTGGCAGAGCAGTGATTTGGAATTTGGGTTTTGCAGCTGGGCAGATCCAGGTTTCCTCTTGGCTCTGTCACCTTCCAAGAATGACACTGTGGTCAGGTCCTTTAACTTCTCTGAGCCTCAATTTTCCTCTCCTCTAAAATGGACTCAAAAATATTACAAGCTCATAGAGTTAGGGTGAGGGTTAAGGGATGATTCACACAAGGTAAGAGCTCTGGCATGAGCTCTGGTGGCCCTCACACTGACTGAGGCTGGGGGAGGCCCCCACTCATCCTGCTTCCTTCCTGGTTTTCTCCCACCCAGATGTGGAGGTGGATGGGCAAAACTGGACCTTTGCTTTTGACTTCTCCTTCCTGAGCCAAGAAGAGGATCTTGCATGGGCTGAGCTCCGGCTGCAGCTGTCCAGCCCTGTGGACCTCCCCATTGAGGGCCCACTCACCATTGAGATCTTCCACCAGCTGAAGCCAGATGCAGAGCAGAACACAGCAGGCTGCCTGGAGCGTTTTCGGATGGACCTGTTCACTGTCACTCTGTCCCAGGTTACCTTTTCCTCGGAAAGCATGGTCCTAGAGGTGACCAGGCCACTCTCCAAGTGGCTGAAGCACCCTCGGGAACTGGAAGAGCAGATGTCCAGTCTGGCCAGAGAGTGCTGGCAGCAGCCCCTGATGCCACCCAGCACTGATGGGCTCCTAGTGCTCTACTCCAACCTCTCTCAGGAGCAGAGACGGCTGGGCAGCTCCACCTTGTTGTGGGAAGCTGAGAGCTCCTGGCGGGCCCAGGAGGGACAGCTGTCCCGCGAGAGGGGCAGGAGGCATCGTCGATATCACTTGCCAGATAGAAGTCAACTGTGTCGGAAAGTCAAGTTCCAGGTGGACTTCAATCTGATTGGCTGGGGCTCCTGGATCATCTACCCCAAACAGTACAATGCCTATCGCTGCGAGGGCGAGTGTCCTAACCCTGTTGGGGAGGAGTTTCATCCGACCAACCACGCATACATCCAGGTAAGATGCCAAGGCATGGGGGGGAGGGGAAGCAGGAGGCTGTGGGGATGTGCTGCTAGATCAGAGGGACAGCTTTACTGTTAAATTAGGGTGTTCATTCATTCACAGTCGTACAAGCACCTACTATATGCCAGATCCTGTGCTAAGTCCTAGGGATGTTGATATGACCAATCACAACATCCTCATAGAGCCTACATAGAATTGTGCCCCATTGGGTAACTTTGAACACATTGCTTCCCTGGGACTTTTTTCTTGTCTTTCATAAAATTAGGGGGTGGGGATAGACTAGGTGGTCTCAGCTCCTTCCCATCCCTGACATTCTAGGAAAGGAAGAAATCTGGACTGTGGGGATAGATAGGCCTGCGTTTGACTCATCAGCTGTGTGATACTGATCAAGTTGCTTACCGTCTCAAGCCTCAGTTTTCCCCCTGTAAATTGGGGAGGGCAATGCCATATTTCAAAGGGATGCAGCAGGGTTAATGAGATGATATGCACACAGCATGTACAGTAGTTGGGAGGTAACAGGCATTTTTGATGTTGTGTTATCACTATTAGAAGTCTGGGATTCACCGATGCAGTGGGGGCTGCATTTACAGGGCCATGGCTGGAATAATGCTGTTCCAGCTACTGTACTATTACTGCCTAAAACAGGAACTGACTACACACTTCACAGGAGTAGACAAGGCCAAAGGCTGCCACCAGGGGCTACTAAGCAGCCTGAGGTTTAGGACATGGTGGAGGGAGAAAACAGAAGGACTGGTGAGTTAGGAAAGAGAAAGAGAAGGAGAAAACAGAATAGAGCCTCATATGGTGGTCCCAATATTATGTGTCCTTACCCTGCTTTCAAAGGTCTTGTGAAACCAAAGTGTTTTCATTTTACTCCCTGGAGCCTGAAATGAGGACCTCTTGGACCTGCAGTAATCTTCTGTGCCAAGCCTCAGGCAGGGTTCAGGGGCTCTGGGGAGCATGAGCATGTGAGCTAAGCTCATGAAAAAGAGGCTTTGGTGGGGCCAGGGCCTCAGAGTACTGTCCTAGGCAAAGGCCCTCCTGAACCTCCCCAGGCACTACTTATTCCACCAGCCCACTTACAGCACATTCAGAGGAAACCACAGAGACGCAGATAGTCCCAATCAACTGCTATTCTGATCTGAAAAAATGTTGCTAGACCACAGGGACCGGGCCCAGTACCAAAAGGCCAAAGTGTTGTGACCTTTCCTCCTGTTGACTCTATCTGCCCTTCTCTGGCCACCAAAACAAATCCCACAAGAATTTCCATATGATTCTCTATTCTGCTTCATATTTCTGGAACTAAACTAGGAGCTTCTTGGAATATCTTTAAAATTATTATTCACTCTATACTAGAACAACAGGAGAACATATAAATTAGCTACTGTTCTATCCAGACACATGTAACTTCTAGAATCTTTCTACTTAAAGGCTATTTGTTTTAAAAAGCAAAATAAAAAAAACACGGAGCTAAAGTTAGACATTAGAGGTATGATATATTGGCATGCTGATTCATTTTTGAAAACAATTTTCTTCTATTTTTGCACTCCGAAACTGATTTTAACTCTATAACTCTTTACTCTTTACCCAGAAATAATATTATTCTGACCTGCCCATTGAGATGTGAACTGACCCTCCCATCCTTCCTTCTAGAGTCTGCTGAAACGTTACCAGCCCCACCGAGTCCCTTCCACCTGCTGTGCCCCAGTGAAGACCAAGCCACTGAGCATGCTGTATGTGGACAATGGCAGAGTGCTTCTAGATCACCATAAAGACATGGTTGTGGAAGAATGTGGGTGCCTCTGATGAGATCCTGGAGGGATGCTGGATTTGCTTGCACTCTGGAAGGGTCCAGTCTTATTCTATGGACCTCTTTGCAATGTCTAAAATATGAAAGGGCAGAGTTCTTGTTCTCAATAATATGAGACTTGGTGAGTTAATAGCGTGGTATCTGATGTTCATGTGGCACAGCCTAGTTTAAGACATCAGACATGACAGTGTCTAACAAGTGCTCCTGAGGGGCACACACAGCTCCTCTTCAGAAAGGAAAAGCTGCTGTTTGAGCTTCCTCAAGACTGGTACCTAAGAAGGGCCTCTTTGGGTGTTCAGCCCAGCATACACACATTCACCTCCAAGCTCCTGAGCACAGGACCAGGGTCTTGCTCTTGAGGAAAGGTAACATCATCTCCCTACATATACAGGGCCAGACTGACAAAGTAAGTGCTCCATAAATGTTGAGAACTGATGAAAGAAGCGGCCAACTACTTTGCCCATCTTCCCCACCAGCCAAGACTCCCAAATGTGGAATAATTCTCAACAGGATTTCACCTGAAACTTTTTTTTAAAAATTGAAACACCAAGTTGATACTCAAGATCTTTATTGATTTAACTGTAACAGCAACCATTGGTGAGAATTTAGTTTTTTCCCTAATTTCCAAACACCTGCTGGTTTGGAAGGATGTTTAAAAAAAACAAATGATCATGGAATCACACAGGATTGCCTCAAGGACCGCACAGTACCCTCTGCTATCCACCCACAACAGTGAAATGGACAGGAGGGGTGAGGGAACAACATATGAAGGGAGAAAAAGAAAAGGCCAAGGAAAGTGCTGGTAGTCTCCACTTTTCCATTCAGAATGGATTGAACTGGGCCATTGGTGGCACTTGACAGGGAAGGGCTTATTTCTTTTTTAAAAATATTTTAAAGATGCTTAAAATGGACATCTGAATATGTGAGTGTCCTCTGGGCTCTTCAAGACACCTTCTTTAAGGTTTTCCAGTGAAAATCCCATCCCAGGTCTTTACAGTATCTTTACTAAGTAGGTGCTCAACAGTTATTACATGGCTGGGGCCAGGAAAGTGACAGGTCAAGTTATTTGTGGCCACAGTTGTGGGAGTGTTTATACTTGGTAGCTCTATTGACTCAAGAGAACAAACCTCCCTGATAAGGCATTGCCTCATGTCAAGCAGAAGACGCAGGCACAAAGTAGTGAAACTATTTTGCTGAGCCTTGCTACATGGGCAGCAGGGTCATTCTGCTGTCTGGTCAGAAGTAACTGGGGCAAAGCCTACCTACAAGAGCCTAGGGAACAGCTCCATGCTCTGGACCCTGTGTGCTTGCTGAGGCTTTGTAAGTCAGGAAATACTGCCTCTGAAAACTTTGCCCTGTCTGAACCTGGGTTTTTAACAGAATAGTCAGTTATTTACCTTGCTCTCAAAGCAAAGGTCTCTTGTTCCTCAAAGTTGTTGTAGCTGTGAGTGGGAAAAGTTGGATGCATTACTTTCCTTGGCTGGGGAAGTAGGTGGGCCTGGCAGTAGGTAGGAGTGGAGAAAAGAGACATTGTAAGAGGAGAGAAGCAGAAGCACAGGATACATAGATATGTGGGAAGTGGTTGTGACCCTCAGCTAGCACCATAACTCCGGGTTTATCTCTATTCTTGAAAAACTTCCCTTTTTATTAGCAGTAAGATCCATATCCCTGTATCTTAAATTGCCTTTGCGGCAGAGAAAAGGATGTATGAAAGTGCTTTCAAGGTTGTTCTGGCCCCATCTTCCCTTAAAGAGATCCTTTAGACCGTCTAGCAGTCCCACAACTAGGGAGAAGCTGCAGTGGTCAAGCCCACTCTACCCCAAAACTGCACACGTTGAGGAAAAAGGAGACCCACCTGAACAACCAGAGGCTGTGCTTGAGCCCTTTAATACGAACTACCATTATTGAACTCTTGATGTATCAGGCACTGGGCTAAGTGTTCTCCATGATCTTACCGGAGCCTCACAACAACCTAGAAGTTATTTCTTAACCCTGGTTTAGAGACAACTGAGGCTAAGGGATTTAGAATCCCGCTGGAGGTATTGTGGCTACCAAGTAGCACAGCTGGAATTGAAGTCACCTGATTCCAAAGCATGCGCCCTAAACCTTTACACTCTCCTGATGGGAAAACTTCCTCAAGTCCAGTCTTATTCTATGGACCTCTTTGCAATGTCTAAAATATGAAAGGGCAGAGTTCTTGTTCTCAATAATATGAGACTTGGTGAGTTAATAGCGTGGTATCTGATGTTCATGTGGCACAGCCTAGTTTAAGACATCAGACATGACAGTGTCTAACAAGTGCTCCTGAGGGGCACACACAGCTCCTCTTCAGAAAGGAAAAGCTGCTGTTTGAGCTTCCTCAAGACTGGTACCTAAGAAGGGCCTCTTTGGGTGTTCAGCCCAGCATACACACATTCACCTCCAAGCTCCTGAGCACAGGACCAGGGTCTTGCTCTTGAGGAAAGGTAACATCATCTCCCTACATATACAGGGCCAGACTGACAAAGTAAGTGCTCCATAAATGTTGAGAACTGATGAAAGAAGCGGCCAACTACTTTGCCCATCTTCCCCACCAGCCAAGACTCCCAAATGTGGAATAATTCTCAACAGGATTTCACCTGAAACTTTTTTTTAAAAATTGAAACACCAAGTTGATACTCAAGATCTTTATTGATTTAACTGTAACAGCAACCATTGGTGAGAATTTAGTTTTTTCCCTAATTTCCAAACACCTGCTGGTTTGGAAGGATGTTTAAAAAAAACAAATGATCATGGAATCACACAGGATTGCCTCAAGGACCGCACAGTACCCTCTGCTATCCACCCACAACAGTGAAATGGACAGGAGGGGTGAGGGAACAACATATGAAGGGAGAAAAAGAAAAGGCCAAGGAAAGTGCTGGTAGTCTCCACTTTTCCATTCAGAATGGACTGAACTGGGCCATTGGTGGCACTTGACAGGGAAGGGCTTATTTCTTTTTTAAAAATATTTTAAAGATGCTTAAAATGGACATCTGAATATGTGAGTGTCCTCTGGGCTCTTCAAGACACCTTCTTTAAGGTTTTCCCCTGGGGTTGTAGAGGGTCTCCTCACCCAGGTGGAAAGAGATGGGCCCCATCTGCAGGTGAAGGAAAGGCACTGGCGTGCGGGACTCTGATTTGGACAAAGTAGGAGCAGGATAGCTCACACAACTCGCCCCTCAGCTCCACACTAGTGTTCATCCCCTACTCCCCTGGTTTCCAGTAAAAATTACCCTTGGCCTGGCTGATTTTTTTTTCCCAAAAAAGATCAAGATGGAGAGGAAGGGTTTACAAGAACAGATATTCTGTGCTAGATCCATGAAATTCTTTAAGTTTTATGTGTCCAGGAATTTTGGTTTCAAGCACCAGCAAGAGTGCCCTTTGGAAGTCTCAATGTGACCAAATGATTATCAAGCGTTGCAGCATCTCTGCCAGCCTCCCACCCTTAGAAAGGTGGCAGAGTGAGAGTTTAAATACCCTGGGAAGTGAGTTTCATCTAATATTTTCCATTGGGTATCCATGACATACAATATTGGACTGCTAGGGCTGCAGACAGAAGCTAATAAGCAAAGACCATCTGAACAAGGACTCAAGTCTCCTAAATCTAAGCTTTGCCCAAAGGTACCAACTTCCAGGACTGAACTAGAGAAATTTAAATTCCAGAGGGTGGGAAAGGTGTTTTGAATGATTAATTGTCAAAACAAGTTGTATCAACCATCCTTAGAGTCTTCAGTAAGACATTTCTGTGAGTTAACCTCAAACTCCACAGCTAAACTGGAAGTCATTGCTAAGACAGGATATGCCCCTGGGTGTAAGCAGTCTAGAGAACTGTGACCCAACTACATCAGGATCTGATTTCATCTTTTATTAAAAGCTGAGGGGTAAAGAACTGTGGGGGTAACTACATCCCCCTTAAAGTCCAGACAGAAATTTCCCTCCCAAAGATACAATGTTTCTTTAAAACAAATACTAGCTCCCTCCCAGATGTTATGAGTAGGTAAATGATTGGGTTTCACAGATTAATAAATAGCTGCCCATGTGCATGTAGTCCAGAAAATATGCCAAGAAGGGACAGTTTTGAACCAAAGACAGTGGGGCCCCCTCTCTAAAGGGGAGCACAAAGGGTTGAGGGTCCTGGCTTCAGGCAGCTGGTATCCAAGATTGGGAGAACAGAAAGAGATTCCGTCTCTAGGATACTGCTGCTAACATGCTGAGCCCCTTACACTAGGGGCCTTGACTTAAAAGTGGCACTCTCTATAACCCACTGAACAATGCACTAAGTAAGGGGTGGGATGGGCGGGCAAGTATGCAACCCATACATGTAGCAGGTTGTAATCAAATGGAAATGGAGGATGTTAACAGTGTTTGAACTGGGAAGGTAAGGTATGAGAGTCCTAAAGGGCTGGTAATCCAAGAAGCAAAAAAATAAAATACCATCTTTTTTGACTCCCCCTCAAAATCAGAAGGAAAAACAAGGTCCTTTAAAGATGAATTCTTTACTTCTGGAAGAAGTACCCTTTTCTCATAGCTGCCTCAGCAGCAATACTTCTTCGATTATACTCTAAAGCAAGCAAGGCTACTGATATGAAAATGCTGGGAAGGGGCAGAGCTTAAACTCAAACAAGAATTTGCATCTTTAAGATGTCTGAAATCGCTAAAGACTCGGTTGGGAATGGGTGTCCGAAACCCACAGCAGCCATTCACTAAAAATGTGTTGAACTGACAGGTGAAGACAAGACTGGTTCTCCTTAAGAACACATTTCCATAGAGAAGTCCAGGACAAGATGGGCACACAGAGGTAACTGCACACTGGATTTAAAGGAGCAGTCAAACAGACAGGCACTTGTAATTCTCAGGTGTTTCCTATTTTATTGAGAAGTTGCTTCTTAGGGAAGAAACCTGACCCAAGATTGTTTATGCTGATGTAGCTGAGAGACCAGGCACCAAGCACTGACTCTGTGGGGACCTGGCTTCCTGAAAATCTATTTCACCCTGAATCTAAACTGCTTTCTTGTCTTCAGCTCAACAACCTAACATCTAGTTCATGTTTCCTCCCTTTGCTTGACAATCCCCACTCCAATTAATACAGCTTTAGTGGCTCAGCTGGAAGGCCCCAATTCCATTTCTTTGTCAATTTGTGGCTAAGGGAAATTAAAAGTGGTAATTGAGTCTTAGAGACACCAAGTCTAGGACTTGTAAATAAGCATCCTTTTAGCTGCTAGTAGTCAGGCAGATGTATAGATATACTTCTGGAAATTTCCATTTCTGTTACCCCTCTTAAAACCAGCAGGTAGCTTGGGGGAAAGGGAGAAAGTCCATCTTCTCTCTCAGTCTAGTGATGCACATCATAGAGAATTGTTTTTGGTAGCAATATATCTCTCAGCATATCACTTAGATTAAACCTACCTCCCTATTGATCTGTTTTCATCTTTTGTTGGGGATGTGGTGGTTTTAAGATATGTCCACAAATTCTTTGATACTGCTCCATTCAAGAGGGGAGGAGATGTAATTCCTCTCCTTGAACGTAGTCTGGGCTAAGTGGCTTGCTTCCAAAGAACAGAGTAAGTGATGGTGTGTACTTTCAGAGACAATGTCATAAAAGGCACTGCAGCTTTCTCCTCGCCCTGCACCCCTTTCTGTGATCAGTTGCTCAGAGGGAGCCAGCTACCATCATGTGAAGACACTCATGCTACTCTATGGAGATACCCATGTAGGGAGAAACGGAGGCATCCTGCCTGTAGCCACAAAGAGGAAGCCTGGAAGTGGATTCTCCAGCTCCAAATGACAGAAGCCCCTGACCACATCAGACCGACTTTATGATACCCCATGTTGGAACCATCATGCTAAGTGCTCCCAAATTCCTAACCCACAGCAACTGACAGATAGCTTGCTATTTTAAGATATTAAATTTGGGGGTAATTTGTTACATAGCAATAAATAACTAATACAGGTGGAAGTGGAAGGACAGAACTCTTGGCTTGGAAGCCCAATTCCTGGAAGCTAGCTTCTCTACAACTGTGCTCTTGAGAACATTATACCTATTTAAACAGAATATAGGACACGGTAAACTCAATAAACCATACTATAAAGAAGGGAGAACCATGACAATGTGTGTCTCCTGCTGTAATATGGAGGGAGATCATCTCTCATTAAGACTTATTGTCTCCAAAAGCAAAGAAACATGATTTACTCATAAAAAGAAAACTACAAATAGTCACTAAGATTTTAAGAACAGACTTACTCAAATGGTTAACTAAAGGTGTTCCTCCCCAAGAAAAAGACAGGATACAATATTCATTTAGGGCTTCTCTTCTATGAGGTTCCTTCCAAATATCCAGGGGTAAACCACCTACTGGATTCTGGCTTGCTCTGAAAACAATTCTGTGAGGCATGACACAAAGGTGTCATCTGTTGGAAGTTTATCTCTTGCTTTGTGAAATTATTTTTAAAATGCTGATTACCTCTAGTAACAGTGGCCTCCAGAAAAGAACTGCACAAAGCAGTAAGGAGGTCCTTGCAAAGAAGGGTAAGGGATTGGGCAGCTGCTGTATTATATGCTGTATTATACAGCTGACACTACCAGGAAATACTAGAAACATCCTGTGATTAGAAGGCCTGTGCAGAAGTTCCCCAAGATGGAGCAAAAAGGGAAAATGGTATCTTGATACTACTCAAGCTCCCATGTTTTAAATCCATTCCTCATTGTTCAGTGAGGAAGCCAAGTTTTCATATATCAATAAAGATCAAGAAGAGTACACTCTTCTGCTCACTGATAGACTGACTAGCTGCTCTTTGGCGTCAGATTCCACAGGATGCCAAGGACAGTGCATGAAGACTAAAAAGCTTCACTCCCAAAGAATCAAACTCCCCAAGCTAAAAAGAGGTCCTGAACAAGCTTTTTAGGAAAATTACAGCACAACTTAAGTTTTCCCAAGAGTTTATAAAGCAAAATTTGGAGTTTAATTAAAATCAGAACAGGGATACATTAAACAAACAAACAAAAAATATTTTTCTGATTATCGATTTTTGACTCAAAGCATCCCCAAAACATTGGAGATCCAGCTTATTCCTGAGACATCAACCATCACAAAAGATTTTCACTCTGAACTATTCACATTTTGTAGCAGAAAACAACAAAGTTCCACAGACGTCCTTCCTCTCCTTTTTCTGAAATGTATTCACAAACAGGGTCTTTTTCATAGTTCAAAAGAAAAACAAACAGCTTTTTTTCTTAGCCAATTGGCCTGTTCCTCTCATCCTGGGATCTGATCTCTTAATGAGAGGGTTTGGGACACCAAATCCAACCAGAAATTCCCAGGACGCCAGAGACTACTTTACTTGTCTTTCTATGAGGGATGAATGCATTAGTCTTTCTACTAGGTGAGTCACTTTCCCGGGATTATTGAGCCAGTCAATAGTTCCAGGAGAGTGGGGTGTGCAGAAGGGCAAAGGAAAAAGCAAAGGGGTAAGGGATAAGAAAGAGGCTTTCATAAAATGCATAGCAAGGCAGAATGGTCCAGTTTTATAAACCACCCACTACAAACTCCAAACATGCACACCCAAAACTAGAGGGGGAAGGAGTTGGGGAGACGAAAGATGGTGACACAGAACAGCAGACCCGTCTACGGACATTTCTCACTTTCCTAACACTGGAAGATGTTTAATTAAAAAGTTGCTGTTCAAAATTGTACTGAAAACATATCTAAAAATAGGTCTGTAGTCATCTTAAAAATAAAAAGTCACTCCTCAGATAAGAGGACTGACAGATATTATCAGATACCAACACGTGAGGTATCTTTGATATAAATTTGAAAAATGGCCTGGCAGAGAAAAAGGAAGAAAAAGGACGGAGAGATGGAAGGAGAGAAGAAAAGAAAGGGAAAATTCATAGTACAATGGGAAAGGCAAGAAAACTGGGAAGGACATATTTTTAAGCCCATGCTTATCTATCCCAGCAGCCGAACAAAGCAGATCCACAAAGGAAAAAAATGCAGTTCTTTTCCAAGAACATTCTGAAAGTCAACTTTAAAATCAAAATAGAAGAAACTACAATCTGAAACAACAAATATCACAATGTTCACTGAATTTAAAAACAGTGACTACTGAGACTGGGTACTCAAATGGATCAACGCTCTTCAGAGGTCATTCTTAGGTATTATCTGGCAGAATGCTATGATCAGGCCTTATTCACCAAGTGGAGGCTGAAGTGTCTATATTACTCAGTATGAACCTACTCTGGGAGCAGACAAAATCCCCTAGATATCTCAGAGTACAAGAGGACTCTGCCAGCAACAAGATGCAAATGGGGAGGAATGGCAGAAGAACAGCAAAGAATAGCTGGTTACTGAGAGCTCCCTTCTAATGTAGAGAGTTTAGAAATACCTGTATAGGAGCTGGCTGATTAGCTCAGTTAGTTAGAGCATGGTGCTGATAACACCAAGGTCAAGGGTTCGGATCCCTGTGCCAGCCAGACACCAAAAACATTAAATAAAATAAAAATATCTGCACAAACATGCTAAGTAAAGGAATGGGAAGATAAACTATAATACCAAAGACAGAAAACATTCCTCCCAGAGGAAAGAGGGGAAGCAGACCTCAAAATGGTGTCATAGGGAAATGCTACCAGAGTTGCACAAACTATGCTCTGTCCTTAAGGACAAATACCTTAAGGTAAAAGGGAAAGCAACTCATTTTGTTTATCATTTCCGCCAATGGTTTTAAAGACTCCAAACACATACTCTTGCAGCATTTAACCACAGGTGGGATAAAGGGAGGAGAGAAAGAGGATAAAAAAATGAACAATGCTGAACCCACCAAACCTCTTATTCCTTCCCCAGACTTCCCAGTCAGGCAGTTGTTGGTAGATTGACACTTGATTTGGGATACATTTGAGAGGGCAAGAGGTGGTTCTCAATAGAAAAATGATCAGAGAAGCCAGAATTTAACCGTTTTCCTCTATGAGCTGCTTAGCTCTACAGAAATACACCAAGGGCCTTCAATCAATCTAATCTGTTTAACTTGGAAGAAGAACAGAAAACAGGGAGAGGAAATGGTCAGATGAAGCTCTTCTTCCCACTATTTGGCACCCAAAGGAAAAGGGAAGGTGGAGACCGCAATGAAGACTGCTGGTACTGCCTCTTCTGTCTTTTCATTGTTGATCCTATTGGCCAAATCAGGTACACACAGGTATCGGCGTTGCTGCTTTTCTTCTAATCCTTGCAGGAGAGTCAGATATCCATCTCAAACTGAGCATCATCCCCTGGTTAGGTTGAGTAAAATGAAAAGTTTAGCACAAAAAGGAAAAGTAAAACAGTTTTAAGTGTCATTCCAACTACACAAGAGTCAAAAAATAATTTAAACTGTCCCATTCTCTGCTGCCTTGAAACAATTATTCTGCTTTGCTTTGGTTGATCTTTTTAATCTGGAAAAGAAAAATGCAAGTCACACCACCCATGGAGAGGAGTTTTTGGTGAAAAAAACACAAGTTAAAACTCTCCCAGGGTCTCTCTGTCCACAAGTTGACCAAACAGCAACTCCTAGGGAGCTCTTTGCCTTCTCTCAGGTGAGTACACTTGTCTGGAGATTTTGAACTTTGGTCCTGCTCTGAATGGACACTTTATCCATTAAAAACTCATTTGGAATTTGAGGAAGCAGAATGCTGGCTCACATCCAAGGGCCTCCAAGCACAACCCCTGAGGTGTATTTCAAGAGCTGGCCATTTCCACCTCATTATTCTGCTTCTACGGAGATAAAGATGACTCATTAGTACAGCGTGTGTGTCTCTCAGTGTGTGTAGGCGAGTATTTATATAATTATAGGCAGTTCTGAAAAATAGGGGAAACAAACCAGACTGCTTTTCCTCACACCATAAAAGGACATTCTTCTTGTAAGAAACAAGGTCTACTGCCTGAAGATGATGGAAATGGGGGCTATAAAATTCTGTTTTGTCTTCTGTGTGCATGTGTGTGTGAGCGTGATCCTATGTCCAATAAAGCGTAGGTCAGGCAGTCCGTAAGGAATGGTTCAAGGAGTCACCTTCAGAGTTTACCATTCCCTGATTTTTGATTCTTTTCCCCCACCAACTAGATTAGATGTGATTATGATTTAGAACTCAGGGTTTCTACAGCATTTCCATAAATCTTTGGAGAGGGAGGAAAAACCTTAGAGACATACAACAGAACATCATTTATACTGAAGCATCAACATTTTTTCAACCTACAGCAAAATGACATTCAAATTCCCAGAGCAACCTTCTTGGTGCCCAACACTAGCATTCTCTTACCAACTGCATGCTTCCTGTCATGATTGTTCAAGTTGTTCAAATTGTTTACTTCTACTTTGGAGTCTTCAATTAAGGTGCCAGGGCTAGTGACTCCTGGGATATTGGGCAGATGGCAGGGTGGGGTCTGAGCCATGGGAGAATTGCGGCGATCCAACAGAAACTTTCGATCATAAATGATTCGGGTTCCTGGAAAACAGGGTTGAAAAGAGTTTAAAACAAATGAAGGTGCTATCAACATAAAATACTACCCAGAAATTTAGTTTAAATCCCATGTAATCCTAACCCTTAAGAATTTTACAATTCAAACCAAAAGGATAAGCTCTAACCATCCTGCCTGTGAACATCCTTTCCTCCTCTTCTACTGGGGAAGTGATGAAGTGGAGGCTATAAAATGATGAACTCCTGCTCATCCTTTAAGATTCAGCACCAACATCACTTCTTTGCAATGCTGTGCCCCTTGCACCTTTTAGCCTTCCTTCCCCCCATCTTACTCAATACACATCATCTATTACAGGACTCGTTTATCTATCTGTCTCTCTGTATATATACTCTGAGTTCCTTATGCCAAGGCTATGTCTTATTTACACTTGACCTGTGTCCTAACATTAAGATCTTCAAAAACGTTTTTTAAATGATGGAATAAAAAGCATGTGAAAAAATAGATAGCCACCTGTAGGTTAAAGGCTTTCCAAAGAAGCAGTGAGAATGGCATTCTTCCCAGACAGAGCTATAGCAAAAGCTGGAACTGGCAGTCTCTCTCTATCCTACAAAACAATCAGCTTACCAGTAAATGCTACCTGAATGCTTTACAAACAACAGTTCTGAAGAGCACACTTTACCTGACACTTATGAAAACTGCTGTTTATAACTGGCCAACAGGTACATAAAAGATGCTCAACATCACTAATCATCAGGGAAATGTAAATCAAAACTACAGTTAGATATCCCCTCACACCTGTTACGATGGCTATTATCAAATCAAGATAATAAATGTTGGCAAAGATGTGGAAAAAAGGAAACCTTTGTGCACTATTGGAAGGAATGTAAATTGGTACAGCCATTATGGAAAACAGTATATCACTAATCATCAGGGAAATGTAAATCAAAACTACAGTTAGATATCCCCTCACACCTGTTAGGATGGCTATTATCAAATCAAGATAATAAATGTTGGCAAGGATGTGGAAAAAAGGAAACCTTTGTGCACTATTGGAAGGAATGTAAATTGGTACAGCCATTATGGAAAACAGTATGGAGGTTACTCAAAATATTAAAAATAGAACTACCATATGATCCATCAAGCCCAGTTCCAGGTATATATCCAAAGGAAATAAAATCAGTAGATCAGAGAGATATCTATACTCCCATGTTCACTGCAGCATTATTCACAACAACCAAAACACGGAAACAACCTAAGTATATGTCAATGAATGAATGGATAAAGAAAAAATGGTATATATATATATATATATATATATATATATATATATATACACACACACACACAACAGAATATTATTCAGTCATAAAAAAGAAGGAAATCCTGTCATCTGTGACAAGATGGATGAACCCAAGGGCATTATGCTAAATGAAATAAGTCAGATAGAGAAAGAAAAATACTTCATGTTTTCACTTATACATGGAATCTAAAAAAGTCAAACTCACAGAAACTGAGAGTAGAATGGTGGTCACCAGGGGCTGTGGGGATAAGGAAATGGGGAGATAATGGTCTAAGGGTACAAACTTTCAGTTATAAGATGAATAAATTCTGGGGATCTGATGTACTGTATGGTGACTATAGTTACCAATACTGTTACATACTTGAAATGTGCTTAAAAGAGTAGATCAAATGTTCTCATCACACACACAAAAAAGGTCACTATGCGATGACAGTTGTGTTAATTACCTTGACTGAGGTAATCATTTCACAGTACATACATATATAAAATTGTCACATTGTACACTTTAAATTTATACAGTTCTATTTGTCAATCGTACCACAATAAAACTGGGGCAAAAAAAAAAAAGGAAAAGAAAATCTGCTGTTGTTTATTCCTTTTGTCTTGGTCTTCCCAAGGAACTAATGGCTATAAGTAAGATATATCCAGTGTTTATGGGTTATAAAAAAGAGTAAAAAAGATATCAACTAACAGACAATTAGAGATGCCTAATGTTGGGCAAATGTAGCAGATGCCTAGAGCTCTGCTGCTGATTCTAAGACTGGTTCAGTAAGAATGTGGTGACCATTTAGTGATGTCTGCTAAAGGCAGTGACAGTACAGAAAGAGAACAGCAGCCCAGCATATTTGCCAACCCTGCCTAAGTAACAAAGTAGTCATGTAGAGCTATCTTGCTCACACTGGGCTTAAATCAAGAGAAGAAAAACCTGCTTTCAGGGTTTGCGTATCCAAATCAAAGGCAATACTACATGTGAAAGGAAAATTATATACAAAGTTACCCAGTTTAAAGAGGAAGAATCTAACTACTACTCGCTAGTAAATGCTTTCAGATTCTCAAGGGAGGGGGTGGGGGGAAGAATACGCCTGTCATATTATAAAAAGGAGAGTCAGGCTGGCTGGTTAGTTCAGTTGGTTAGATCATGGTGCTGACACCAAAGACCAGGATTCAATCCCTATCCCAGCCCCCCCCCCCCCGCCCCCACCCAAAAGAGAATCTGCCTCAGACAGATTTCCTCAAACAACATGTGAAGGCTACATCCCAGGAAACAGAAGAACAAACTAACAAATCTATTTGACATGTGAGGAAGTAAATGGAAAACAGCAAGGTATTTACCTCAAGAATGGAAATTCCACAGTCCTCCCAAAGACAGGGGATGAATACTTAATCTTAAGAAATAATACCAATATAGGGGCTGGCCCGGTGGCACACTGCTACAGTGCGCCGCTTTGGAGTGTGGTGGCGCTCCCGCCGAGGGTTCGGATCCCACATACAGACCGGTTCCCGCTCACTGGCTGAGCGAGGTGTGGGAGCAGCACCGAGGGTTGCGATCCCATTGCCGGTCCCGGTCCGGGTCCGGTATGGGCTGGCTGAGCGAGGTGTGGGAGCAGCACCGAGGGTTGCGATCCCATTGCCGGTCCTGGTCCGGGTCCGGTATGGGCGCGACCCTGAGGGTTGCGATCTGTTGCCGGACTCGAAAAAAGACAAAAAGGAAAAAAAAAAAAAAAAAGAAATAATACCAATATTAAGCTAAGTAGTTAGAAAATGAGTTTTCAAACTCAATGATTTTCTTGGGATTAATACCTGCAGTGGTACCATGACACTTTTACACAAATACTATTAAGTAAGTTCCTTTCAACTGAATGGAAAATAGTCAAACTAGTGCATTCTTAGATGAGGAAAAAACCAATAGGGACTCTACCCTCCTCCACCCCCCACCATCCTTGCTTTAATATCTAGAATAAAGTACTAATCATATTCTCCTCTAGACAATACTATAAAATTAGCTAGTCACAGGAATGAATGACTTGAGAATATCAGCACATGAAGGCATTTTAAAACAAAACTGTTAAGGCTTTCAAACCAACTCCAAAGGATATCAACTTTCATTTTTACTATCCATTTCTGCTACAACTACATGACAGTCATATTTTTAGTTTATAATAAAAATACAATATCTGGCTCTGAGTCTCTCCATAATAAACTAAGAAAAATATTGGGCCATATTTGGAACCTACTAGGACAGTATTTTGGGGGTTGTGATCTACATCAGAATCATCTGGGATGCTTGTTAAAATATTATTCAGATACCTGGGACTAGAACCTGGAAATCCATATTTTCAACTTCCCCAGGTCATTCTATGTTCATTAAAATTTGAGAAACACTATACCAAGAGAAATAACCCAACTTTATCCTTTTTCCAAAATCCTGGTGACAGCGATTTAAAAATAGATGAAATATCAAAGAATTAGTAAGACGAAGATGGGAGGGGCTATACAGATCATTTTGACAGTTGATGTTGAGACCCAGAGAAATGACCTCAGAGCTAATCAGAAGCAAAACTGGAACTAAACTTGTGGTTTCATGACTCCTAGTCCAGCACTCTTTCCATTCTACCACAATCTCTATGATCTCCAAGAGTAGGAGTGAACTGTCTAAAGTGAAAGGAGTAGAAAGGTAACTGCTACTCATATAGAAAATAACAAGGTAAAGATGGTATGACAAGCAGATTATACAAAAGGGACCACCAAACATTTGTCCTAAAGCATTGCCTTCCAGTAGAAGTAGGGGCAGGTGATGGTGGTGGTGTTATGAGTGAAGGTGGTTTGCTTTCTGGGTGGTTTTTGGTCTTCTAGTTGGGCAAGGCCTGAGTACTTACACAAGAGTACTTCAAAAAGTTCATAGAAAAATAGAATTAAAAGATAATTATGAATCTTTCCATGAACTTTTTGAAGTACCCTAGTATATTTTATAAATTACTTAATCCTTACATTTCTTCTTATAGGATGGAAAAAAAAAAAAAAAAAAAAAAAAAAAAGGGGGGGGGGGGATAAATAAATAAATTAATTAATTAATTAATTAATTAATTAATATTATGTGAATAGGTAAGTTTATTTATTTATTTATTTATTATTATTTTTTTTTTTGGTCACCGGTAAGGGGATCGCAACCCTTGGCTTGGTGTCGCCTGCACCGCGCTCAGCCAGCGAGCACACCGGCCATCCCCATATAGGATCCGAACCCGCGGCGGGAGCGCCACTGCACTCCCAGTGCCACACTCTCCTGAGTGAGCCACGGGGTTGGCCCGAAAAGGTAAGTTTATAACCTAAGAAATTCTTTTCCTGCTTTCACTGTTTGAAGGATTTAGGCAAAAAGGCCCATAGCCCATTTGTGACTGTATCAACACCATGATCTTGACCTTGGCAGAAAAGCTTTGCATGCCTGCCTTCCTTTACGAACACTTGGAAAAGTTGGAAATCATTCGCTCCTGGTTTAAAGATGAATCAAGCCTTATATCCTGTCTCAAATATAATTTTAGGACATGGAAAGTAGAAATTTACCTTTACCCTCTTTGCTTTGAAAAATAAGAACTAGAGTAACAACTCAAAAAGGCATCTGAAAATTATAAGGAATAAGGCATGCTGGATAGCAGAAAACTTAGTTCAATTTTCAAAAGGTGAACAATATCAATTATTTTGGATGGGAATATTTCTAATACAAATTTAAAA